AGCAGGTCACCTTGAAAAACCAGGATTTCTCCTGCCAACCTGGATGAGGTTACATGCTGCAGACACTTACAGCTTCCTTACAGGAGGGATAACTCAGCTCTCCATCACCCAGAGCCTGGCACTGCATCAGCCTGGCTGAACAGAGTGTGTGAATCCCCATGTCAACGGGTGCCAGTGTCGGGGCAGGCAGGCAGGAGTTGCTGGTGTTCCCAGCAAGTTTGTTCCTGAGGAAAATAGGAATGAAGTTCATGTATTGGTTCTTTTATAGATCCCCTGAGATCTCAGCCATTAAACAGCACTAGAGCCAATCAGCTCTCCCTGTGCACAGGGATGACAGCAGGACTCACAAAATCCTCCTCTCGGTGCTGCATCCTGTGCTGACATCATGGGAAAAGGGGGAAACCAGAGCACCAAGGTGTAAAAATATGGAATGTGCACAAACGGGATACAGAATGTGCAGGAATGAGACCTTACGTGGATTGCCATGGACTGTCACTCCCTTTGCATCACAAGCAAACAGGGAAAAAAGCAGAAGAGCGCCTGGGAAAGGGTCTGTAGCCCAGTGGGCACATCCCTGGGGCACTGGACAGATGAGGTTTCTGTTCCTGCTAAGTTCCAGGCCTCCTCTCTCAGGAGGGATCAGATCTACCTGGATGAATATGGATAACTGGCCTCTAAACCGCCAGAAATACAGAAAGCATTTGTTCAGTTTCTTTTACTCTGCAGTGATAATTGGTATATAAATTGCAAAAATGTTCCTGAGCATTCTCAGAGTGTAAAGTTTCCAAGGTTTTTTGCTGATGACAACCAGCCTTATCTAAAGATCTAAAGAGAGAGAAAGAGACCACTTGAATTAAAGAGTCAAAGAATTGAGTAGAGGTGACACAGCCTATCTCTTACCCCACTAGGATGAGACACCCTGAGCACTCTGGCCTAAGGTTGCTCTGGACAATTAAAGTTTTAGAATTCAGGTCCTTTGAAAATGGGTGACAGAGCTATAGAAACCATGGCTTTGCCAAAGGCACCAGTGTGGCTTCCAAGTTCTTGTCACTGGGTCAGAAATGCAGGAAACTCAGCAGTGCTCACTGCAGCATCCCAGGCAGCGATCCCGAGCAATGGCTTTGGGAAGGAAGCACCTGTGTTCAAACTCCAGGAAATATGGACAGAAAATGGACAGAGAGATCCAAACAACTCCTGTTTCTTCCCTCATCACACCAGGCTGGGGAGAACAAACAATCCCTGTTCTTCATCACAACAGTTACCACTTTGGGAAGGAGATGCAGGAAGGGAATGCCAACCACAAGTAACCCTTGACTTCTTCCAGCCTGCATTTTCTGCACAGCACATGGCATCCCAGCATCCTCCCTCACCTCTCGTCTCCAGGGCCCGCCTCCATCTTCCTAAACTCCACATCAGATCTGCTGGAGTGCAAGTGCTGCTCTCCTTGGAGCATTCCTAGGGATGCTCCAAGGATTCAGGGACACAGCCTGCCAGCACCCTCTTTCACACCAGACTACACGTGGACAACAAGCCTCAGACTTCTACACTTCCTAGTGCCAAAGGAGGAAGACTGTGTATTAAAGGCAGTGTTTTAAAAAGGGAGGAATATTTTCCAATGAAAAATCAGCATCCTCACAAAACAAAGTCCTAAAGGCACAAACTGGTGAACTAATCGGAGCAGGTTACAAGAGGAATTGGAAGGATTCCTGTGGGATTAAAACAAAGGATTTCACTAGCAACCTAAGTTTCTGAGACAGCATTTAGAACCTCAACCTGTACCTCAAGAGCAAGAGGTGGCTCGAATGGCCCATGATACCCCACGGACCCTCAGAGCAGACAGCACATGCCATGTTCACCTTATTCCTTCCAGTTTATCTGCTAGCTTCCTAAATAATACTGTTCACACAGATACAGATCTAGAAAGGGTTATAAATACAGGTATTTATATATATTCACACATTTTAGTCCATGTAGTAAAGGCCTGCTCCTTTCTGTTCCATGCTGCTGGAGCAGCTGCCACCACTGGTGACACTGGGGGTGTTCTCCAAGTGACTGTGTCCAGTCCAGTCCTCCAGGGGACACAGGAGAACACAGATTAGTGCTGAAAGGAGAAATGGGGGGGCTCAGCTCCGCCCCATTGTTACTATTTACAGAAAAGAAACCCCTTAGACACGAAGTCCCACCTTCCCTCCAATTCACAAACCAGCTCTGCTCAGTCTAGCTGGGCTGGAGCCTGCACAGTTCAGGCAGGATAACTTGGATAAATGGGAGCATCCTCCAGACACATTTTAGGCAATAAACAACGAGCGGCATGCAACAGTTTGGTTAAAGAAGTCAAAAACAATCGAGGGCTTTAACATTAGAAGTGTGTCCTGATGTGGCCAAGCCAACTTGCCAGCAGAGGGAATGTTCAAACAACAGGTAACTCCATCTCTGTGACCTAAGCAAACATGCATCAGTTAGTTCTACACAAATTAAATAAAACATTCCAAGTGCACAAAGTCCTTCAGATTAAAAAAAAAAATATTAATCTATGTTTACAATAAATATCTCATTGCAATGAGTTTTCTCCTGTAACACTATGTATTTTCTTGGATGTGAGAACAGCAGTGGAGAGGAAAGCTGGGATACTTTGTCACAGGCTTCTGCCACTAGAAAATGAAAGGCAGACCCTGTCCCTAATTTATTACCAAGAGCAGCAGTGAGAACCAGTACTTTTTATTTAAGTGCCAATCTGAGTTTCCTAGAAATTTAGTGTTTATGGATTAGATTATAATGTTCTTCCTAGAGAGTCAACCTCTTGTTGCCCACAGAGGCTGTGGATTCCCATGCCTGGAATTGTTCAAGGCCAGGTTGGATGGGACTTGGAACAACCTGGTCCAGAGGAAGGTTCCCTGACCACAGCAGAAGGGGAACAAGATGACCTTTATGGGCCCTTCCAACCCCAAACCATTCCAGGATTCTGTGACTCAGCAGATTCCTGTAAAGCATATTTTAGATCAGTGTCAAATGTTCTTCAGCTTGTGAATATCTTACATTTAAAACAACAAGCTTAAAAGCAATTCTCCAGCAATTCCTATGGGAAGTCTTCAGGGGCTTGGGAAACCAGACTCTCCTCTCAGGGTTTCCTCCACCCATCTGCTCTCCCACAGCAGATGGGAACACAATTCAAAGAATTTGCTTTTGCACCACCGGAAACTTCAGAATGGACCTGGCAATCCAGGAGCACTCCTGCTAGGTCCCATCACAGCCACACAAGGACACACAGCAGGATTAACACGACAGTCACGGGTGTCCCTCCCAGGACAGCCAACTACGAAGATCAGAAACCAGGACAAAGAAGATGCAGCAGAGACTACAGCCCAGAAATTCAGGAGCTTTGGTCTTGAGGTTTCAATATGACCCTGTTGCCACTCAGAGAAAGAGCAGCCACCAAACAGTCAGTGCTATAACCAGGAGGAAGGACATCATAAAGGGAATACGTGGAGAAGGAAAAACGCTAGAGTACAGCTGACACTTTTTGAGTGATTTCTGCTCTTCAGGGATTGCAATAGAAACCTTTGGAAGAGTTGCTTCACTTGCTGGCCGGGGAAAGGCTGTCTCAGTAGGTATCTCCTGCTCTTTTAGTTTGTCTTCATCCTGTACTAACAGAGGCCGTTCCCGTGTCTGCTTTCGTGGTAGAAGATCAAGAAAGACAGAGAGAGATGAACAAAAATGACAGATGGAAAGTGCCCAAAATGACACTTGGAGATGTGCAAAGCATTAGGGCAGCTCTTCTCAACATAAAATAAACTGCCCTGGGGAGCAGAGCTGCTGGTGGCTTGTGTCACACCAGCCCCGGAGCTATAGAACCATGTTCTCTCTGCAGAGCTCATCAACATCTGCATCAGGATCATGGGTGTTTGATGCCTGCCCTCCCAGAAAAGTGGATGCCCAAAATCTTCCAGAGTGTTTTGAAACTGGAATGGTGAGAAAAACATTTGAAGCATTTGAAACAGGAACGGTGCAGTACAAAATGTGGTCTCTGACAACTTCCTAATCTACAGTGCCCTTGAAACCCAGTGTTTGGAAAATCCCATGGAACAGCCAGACTGAAAAGCAGATACAAAATGCTTTTCCAAAGTTCTGACCAGAGTATCAAAATTTCAGCTGGTTTGAAAATTCTATTGAACAAGTGAAAAACTGTAAATCTTAAAAATCCCACGCATGGAACGGGCAGGGTGGCAGTAGGAGCAGAGCATACTCCTGGAATTTTGCTCTGTGTTTTAGCATATTTGTTTCTGGAGGTTAAAGAATGATAAAAACCCAGAATGAGTAAATCAGCAAATAGGACCATGCAAGGGCTTCAGCACTTCTGCTGAAGAAAGGAAAGGAAAGATGTTGCTGTTCAGTAAGTCTACATCCCTTTAGTTTGCCAGCCCTGGTCAAACCCAAGTGTGCTTAGGACAGGAAAAACTTGGCTCTAAGCTCCCTCAGCTGAGCCAACCTCCGCTGGTCAGTGCGGTATTTTGGGACTGGTTCTTTGCACACCCCTAAGTGGTGAGAATTCGGGAGAAAGTAGCTGGGAGACTGGGCAGCAAAATAAAATATAAGATGCAAGAGTAACATGATCATTAAAACAACAACAACAAAACGAAACAAAACAAAAACAAACCCAAAAAACCAAAACAAATAAAAAAAAAACAGAAAGAAAGACAACATAAAAAGAACAGGGAACAGTTAAATTTTCAGAATTGCTTTTGTCCCCGAATACACGGTTATATTGGTCATGCAGCTTTTTCAAACCAGCCATGCACCAAAATAAGCAAAAATTGAAAGCTGCAAAAGCTGCAGCAGTGCCAAAGTCCTCTGGGTGTGAGTTATGAAACTACTTCATGTAGCCAAAAAAAAAAAAATGTTATCCAGCAGCTGCTGTTGAGTTTTTGCTCGGTGCCATTGCAATAGCAAGTCTGGTTCAGAAGCACAGATCAGAGCAGCAGCTTTACCTCAAGCCCACCAACCTGTCTCTCAGAAGATGGGACAGTGACTTTCTTGACCTGGACACACAAAGCGTGTTAAGGTTCAGTTGTCTCATAACAAAACATACAGGAATAGCAGAGAAGTGGCCCCTGGCAAAAAACCCTTCAGCCACTAAGGCAGGGTGAAAGCACCATCATGAACAGGAGCAATGGCTTTGCATCATGATTTACGATCCTTAATTACCATCTGATTTATGATCCTTCAACACATGCAGGTGAGGGAAAACTTTCTCCCCAGTCAGTGCCTGGAGAAGATGCATTTCTGGAGGTTCATATCAGGACATAGTAACCTCAGAGTGAGATCATTTCAAAGAGGACCAGATTAAGAAGGAACTTCCAGAAATGCAAATCTAGGGCTGACACCAATTCTGCAGTGCTGCAGACCCACTGCCGCCCTAGGTGGGACAAGCCCACACCATCCAGTTATGGTAACCAGCAGCCCTCCATGGTCCCAGTGTGGTCACCTTGCAAGAAATTCTTCATAAAAACCAAGGACAACATTCTTGAACTGCAGTTGTAGAGCTTGAGGGCCTCAGCTCTGTCCTACCCAGTGGGCCCTGAGGAGAGCTCTGCTGCCCACCCTCCTGAGGAGTCTACGCCGAGGCTCAGCCACAGAGGGTAAAGCCTATCCGTGTGCTGAACAGGGCAATCCCCATGACTGGCTGCCCACAAAAGCAGTAGCTGCCCCTGGATCCCTGAAGTGTCCCAGGTCAGGCTGGATGGGGCTTGGAGGAACCTGGGACAAGCAGGAAGTGCCCCTGCCCATAGCAGGGGTGGGACTGGAGGGGCTTTAAGTTCCCTTCCAATCGAAACCATTCTGAGATTCCGTAGCAACCAACCCTGAGTAAGTTCACTTTGGAGGCCTCATTTTGCTAGTAGGCAAAAAGCCCTTTAGCTGTCCTGGCTTTACTCCGAGCTTTGAGGAGCCTGAAGTAAACTTCGTGTTAAACTCCTTGTACATGTCACAATTACCCTCCATCTACTGAAAGATTATTTCCTGATTAATAAGTATCTGCCTTGTTTGAACATGAAATACTAGTTCATCTGCAGGGTTGTGGGAAGGAAGGGGAAAAACTGGGCTTTCAACCAAGAGAGTCTTCAATTACCACCATTTGCAGTCAGGATGCAATTTTTCTGTTGCAATAAAAAATTGCATTTACCACTTAAAAGACTGATTGCCACAGGCACCTAACTACAGTTTTACTCACAGACTCCAAATACGAGCCAGTTGCCACCAGTATGACACAGAGGTGTCTGTTAGCCAAGAAGAAACCAGCTGGTGACTGGTTTTTCCTTGAAAAGTTACCTTTTAAAGGAAATTAGCAGAGAAACTGTGAGTCTATGTGGTACTAACACACAGTTCCTGGAAGAAGGGAGATTCTCATCGTGTTTGAACAGCCCTGCTGTGGCCACCCGAGGAGTCTTCTGAAACCCTCCACAGCAGATCAGCACCTGGAGTTCCTAATGCAAGTCTAAACCCAATGACATACCAGATTAACTGGAGAATAAAGTGATTTTGGAAAAATCATCCCATCCCAGTGCTTCTCCGCTGGGTTATCTGCAATGTTATGTCTGAAGTAATAATTTAGGTCTTTGCATATTGGGTTTGTCAGGGTTTTTTCCACATTTTGGAGAGATCCAGGAATGACCCAGTCCCCAAACCAGCCACGGGACAAGTGCTCTCTAGCATCTGACATTGACAGCAACACTACGAAAAGTAGCATCAATACCAGCTAAGGAATTCTTACATCCTCCTCTACCAAAAAAATCACATTTTTATAATACTACGACTAAAGCTTCGATTCTCTCAGAGAACATTCTACATGTTACAAGCCAAAACTAACGATTAAAACTGAAAACAAGCAGAAGCCAAGGGGAGCTGAGCCCCAGAGTGCAGTGCTGCCCCTGGAGCAGCCGTGCCAGGTACTCACTCCGTCCGCTCCCGTGGGGATCTGCCCATTGACGTTGAGGCTGCGGAACGGGGAGTGGGTGGACAAACGTTTGTCCCACTCGCTCGGCCGAGGCTCGGGCACGGACTCCATGAAGTTCTTCTTCAGCTCACTGATGTTGGCATGGTGCTTCTTTATTTCCTCCTGGGTCTTATCTAGATCCTATCAGCAAAAGGACAGGATAAGTGAAGAGACACGGAGAGATCTGGGACTGCCTAAGCTGTGCTTAGCAAAGCTGCACTCAGCAGATCTACTGACAACTTCCCAAACTGTGCTCACGCTGCAAACACACAAAGGGAGCATCCTCTCTCCTCCTCTTTTTTTAATTAGGATAAACTGCAACCCCAGAACAGGGTCTTGTCCAGCAGCGGGACTTGCCAGTGGTTCACCTCAAGTGACACCAAAACCAGGTGACAGCTGAGCTGGAATATAATGGATTTTCCCCAAACAGGATTTTTTAAAGTTGCCAAACTATGTTTCTTTGGGTTGTTTAATTTAACCTCTTTAAATTTTGTGGGTTTGCTTTCTTTACCCTCTGCTAGCCTGAGTATTTCCAGTTATTAATACAATTGATGATAAAGAAAATGTTTTCTCAATTTTATTTACTTGCTTCCTATCTGTTTCACTTTTTTCCTAGCAGAAATCATCTTTGTTCCCAGAATATCCCATTACCATTTTTCCACTCCCTCTCATCTCATCCCTCCAGGAGCCATCACAGGCAGTTTTAGACTTCAGAAACAAAGATGAGATAATTTTTTGGGGAAAAAAATCAACCTGAAAATTTATTTTATGCTGGATCAATCAAGAAACTCCTGCTAAAATTTTTCATCTGCAGAAAGTCAGATTTTTACTGTGTGATGCCAGTTTACAGCATAAACACACATACTTCAAAGCAAGTCAACTTGTTAAAAATAGTTCTTCCTTGCAAGCAAACCAGAGGCTATAGAAAAGAAAGCTTTCACAGAGAGCAAACAACTTTTCAGGACGGGGCCAAAAAGCAGCAAGAAAAGGGGAAATCAAGGTCAGTAAAAGCATCACCTGGAAATTCCACTCTTTTTGTGCTTTTAGGTGTTACGCAGCCCATCGATTTTAGAAGATGGGACAACAAATGCATCCCTAAAGGAGGGCCCTCCCAAAAATCTCCATTCCTGCAGCTCACTGAGGACACACCACCCTCCCTCCCCACAGGGCTAAACCCCAAATGCCTCTTTAACAGTATTTACTTTTTTTGGCACAGTTCTGGAGGGAAAATAACAAATTTTGGCTTCTACCCTGGATGAAAGTATAAGGCAAGTGCCTGTTAGGTAGGGAAAAAAAATAGAAATGAGTCTGCTGTGGACTCCGGGGCAAATCCCTGCCTGGTTCAAGAAGCCTACAGCTGCTCCTGGCTCAGAAAAGAGAGAAGGACCACCTTGGCTTTCCAGCACTGCGCAGGAGCAGGGCCTGGGAGGGCTGGCAGAGGAGCCAAAGCCACGAGGAGCTACGTGGAGCCGGCTCTGGGAAGCACCTTGAGGAACCAGCTTGCTCAGTGTCACCCTTTCCCTCCTGTCTCGCCCTTTCTGCAGGAAGCTGGTGCATGGGGAGCTTTAAAGGGCTTTCAGTAAAATCACCAGGCAGCTTCAGGAAGGTGAGGTCTGACAGGAAAATATCTGATCTGCCAAGTGGATGGATTAAAAAAATAAAGGGAATAAAGGGGGTGAGCTGCTGGGTCAGCCTGATTGTAGGGGAGGGCTGGAGCACCTGCAACAGAACTGTGGGAAGGGGAGTGGAGACGGAAAGGGTTGGGAGTCAAGTATTGCACTGATGGGAAAAAAGAGGTTAGAAGCAATGACAAAGCTCTCTTTGGGGTTGGGAAACTGGAGCTGTTTGAATTGGGTGAAAAAGCAACAGGCGTGGTCTTCAGAGCGCTCCAGTGGCAGCTGAACTCTGCCTATCACGTGCAGACCCTTCACTTGTCACTCAAAGCTCAATGTTGTAGCAGTAAAAAAAAAAAAAAAAACAAAGAAAAATCAAAAACAAACAAACAAAAAAACCCCCAACAACCCCAAAAAACAACAAACCCCAAGAAACCCCCACAGAAGCTGCAATACTTTGAACATTCTGATGAGAAGGCACTTAGTACCCTCCACTTTCAAGAGATATCACCAGGGAAACCCTATGAGCTGCTGGTGCTGCAGGTTTGAGTAGAAACATGTAACACAGGACCAGAGTATCAGAAGCCACAAAACATCTTCCATAACAGAGTGTATTAAAGAAAATAAAATATATGATTGGCATGGTCTGTTCTGAGACTGAGCTTAGATGAAAACAAGTGGAAAGGGCTCCCAAATCCAAAGGAAAGAGCAGCAATGTGGAAGAATAACCCACCCGTGACCACTGAGCCTGTCTATCAGATCCAGAGGGACCTGGCCCTGAGCCAGGATGGGGCCCAGGGGTGATGAGGCGCTGCAAGGCCAAAAATGGCTGGGAAGAGGATGGAAAAGCTGCAAACACCACTGCAGCATCCAAAAAGATCCCTCCTGCCTGAAGCAACACGGACATTGTGGTGGCCTGGACATCATAGAGATGACAATTTCACAGAATCCTCTAATGTTTTGGGATGGAAGGGAACTTAAAGCCCATCCCAGTCTCCCCCTGCCCTGGGCAGGGACATCTTCCACTACCCCAGCTTGCTCCACACCCCATCCAACCTGGCCTTGGGACACTTCCAGGGATCCAGGGGCAACCACAGCTGCTCTGGGCAATCTGCCCCAACTTCACCAGCAGCTTATCCTGAATTTTATATTTTCACAGGCTTTTCCCCCAGGAAAAGAATTTGTTTCAAGCAGTGAAAAACTGGTCAATGAGCCCAGCACTACAAACCACGACTCCTTGAGCAGCCAGCGGGTCCCAGAGCAGATCTGAGCACTGCCAATCATGTATTTTGGGGAGGTATGAGAGAATGAAAGTCAGAAGAGGAAGAAGGAAGAAGGCCTGCACATCATCATGTTTACTGTCACCATGCAGAAGCATAATTAAAAAATCAACCAAATCAAAAGTTCTTTCATGCAAGAGCATGCAAAAACAAGGGCAGCAGCAAAAGAGGAAGAAGTTCAGCGCAGATGCAGAAGGTTTAGCAAATGCAACTCAAAAAAAGCTTCAAGTTCATACAAACCTCCAACATTAAATTGCTATGCCTGATATAAATGTTTTCACCATCTAGCCTCTTTGATCTCTTCTGTGAAAATGAAAGAAAAGGGGGAAACAAAACAAAACAAAAAAAGCACAAAAAATTAAAACGTTGGTCTTGTGGGATTGATAAATCGGCAAATTAAAAAGTTAATCAGCGTTGGGAGTGCAGCGCTGTGGCAGCATGGGGTGGGAATTCCCGCTGGGAATGGGGGTCTGGCTCATGGAGAATGGGAGATGTGATGAGTCCTTTAAAGAGACAGCTCCCAGGGGCCTTGGCTCTGGCCACAGACACAATTCCTGGATTTCTGTGGAAGCCTGGCTCAGTCACCTCACCAGCTCCTGAGGGATGCAGGCTCACCCTGAGCTCGGGGCTGCACTGCCTGGGAGGACTTCAACGTGCACAGCAACTGCCCCTCAACCACTGCCCCACCTTGGATGTTTCCCTATTACTTAATCAATACCAAGAGGCTTTCTCTTGATTTTTGTTTTGCATTTCCTGCAATGCAGGCTACATTTAGTTTCTAACTGAATTTGTTACTGAGAAGAAATTTCATAAATCAAAACACGTGTATTTCTTTTGAACATTCAACATGCATAATTTCAGCAATGAGATTATCTATGGGACAAAAATTAATTTTCAAATCAAGTATTTGACAGTTTAAAGAAAACCAACACCCCAACCCAAAGCCCATGAAGAAACTGGAGCACTGTCTTTTTAAACAAGTTACATATGCATGAATGATATGTCAAATTTGGTGAAAGGGTAAAATGGCTAACCTTCCTCATTCTTATCAGCTCTTCCTCTTTTTCTGCAGGCTGCTGCTGTTGGGCAGTGATAAAAAAAAAAAAAAAAAAGAGTTGTTGGTTCATTTAACTACGTTGAACCTTGGGGAAAAAAAAAGTGAGCAACCTAAACTGAATTATTAGCACAAACCTGGGGCTGGGCACCATTCGTGGTGGGGACTGTGACCTCAATATGTGTTTTCCTCACCTACATTTAGGAAATAAATTGGTAAAAACATTTCTTGTTAGTAGATTTGTTTCAAGAAACCATTTAGTTTCAAACACAGCTGCATAAAGTTGGTTTTGAAGTGCTGGGGGAACATGCAAAAACCAACATGCAGCCCTGGGCAGGGGTTAATGACACAGCAGCTCCCCAGCACTTTGTTAGTCAACAGCATGTTAAATAATTCCTCCAGCTTGAGAATTATTTGTATTTGAAACCAGTGCTCCCCAGTGCTTCTGAAGAAGGGCTTCCCACTTGCAGTAGGCTGGTCAGGCAATGTTTTCAAATGGCATTTGCAGCTGGATCTCCCAGTGAAAATCCAAACAAAGCAACATGCTCAAATTAACACAGACCTTCTCAAAACCAGAAATTATTGGTTGTATCACAGGTATTATGTTGGAGGAGGCAGTAAGAAGAGGCATAGCCACAAACCCAAGCCTAACATCACAAATTAGGTTCTTTCCTGTCCATAAGTAGAGAGCCAAGATTGTCTTAACACTCTAAGGGAAGTATTTCAGGGAAACTAGACTGCCACATACTCTGAAGGCAAAAGCATCAGAGTGATGCAGCTCCATTGGAGAAACAGTAAATTTAGTATGTTCAAATCCACATTTTCCTCCCACATCTACGTTTAAAGGAAAAAAAAAAATCTAATGTTTAAGCATTTAGGAAAAAAACTGTGATAAGTAAGATGGGATAAGTAAAATTTCCTTGTTCCCAGTGTAACATGAGGGAGGGGGAGCAGCTGGGCAGGAACAGCAGGGCAGGATCTCTGTGCTCTGACTCCCACCCCACAGTGCCAACCTGAAGTTCCCTTCAGCAGTTTCATTTAAAAACTGTTCATGCAGGCCATGGAAGTTTTTGAAGCAACTGCCCTTTCTTCACCTCCATCTCCAAACCTTAATTAATAGGAATCATCCCTGGAGATGCTTACACAAGACCCACTGTGTGATATGATCAGAATTATGTGGCTCCAGCAATGCTGAGAACAGCTAAATTTTGGAGTAATGTGGAAACTGTCTCAAGACAAACACTTCCACTGCACCACTGTAAGGTTTCAATAAGTCAGTAATATCTGCTGAATATTAAGGACACTGTAATATCAGCAATAATTTTGCACATTATTTCAACTTATTAGAACAGCACACACGTATCAACCCCAGCAAAGAACTTAGACATTTGTAGAAAGATCAAATAATGGTTAAAAGTACTGAATTTAAACAATAAACTCCCCAAGATCTCACCAGTGCCATTTTCAACTAAAGCTTCAGTCCAATTTGCAGCACTGTATTTATTACCAGCTCTCCCAGCAAAAGCCTATCAAGATGAAAAACACTCTGGCGCTGGGCTGCAGACCAGATCCATTATCACTGATTTCACTGGAATTCACTCCCGCTGTCATACCAGGAATCAGGGGGCACAGTCTGGCCAAGGGTGAGCTCTGAACTCTGGTTCCATGATCACATGCAGCTCTTGCCAGTGTTTTTAACCATCTATCAGCAGGCTGCACTTGCTTTGACTACAACCACCAATACCCGGCTGCCCTGGAGCTCCTTCTTCCACCGAACGTCACAGCTGGGATTCCCTGGCACCCAGACCCCTGTGCCTGCTCCCACCCAGCACTGAGGGATGAGGGATGAACCCCTCATCTCCCAGAACAGAGCTGCTGCTTTGGGGTGACTTTCTTGGGCGATGCTCCAGCCCAGCTCTTCCCAAGAGACTCCGCCCGGGCCTACCTTTGAGGCGTCCACTGGCTCCTTGGGTTTCTCCAGTGCAAATTCTTCACGTCTCACATCAGATTTTGCTGTTTCCTTCCCTACTTTAGATGTGGCCACGTCCTTCACAGTGGACTTAGCTGGGGCTGGTTCTGCAGGGTGGCTCTGAGCGATGGCTGGGGCTGAGGTAGGCCGGGGACTCCGCTCTGGGGTTATCACAGCCACTGCTGAGGATGGGGGACAGACAGGGACAAGGTTCAGAGCAGGTAACTTTTCAATGGATTGTGCAAAGTCTTTCCAAATTACAGTGCTGTCATTTAAAAAGAAAGGGAGAAGGAGGAGGAGTATGAAAAAAAAGGGAAAAGAAATAAAGATGTTGAGCAAAGCAGCATGTGCATTTGGTACAGGAGAGTTGAGATTATTTTCCTTATGGTTTAAAATAAAATCAAATAAAACCCCATACCAGATGGTTTACAAAAAGCAAGCTTGCACTCTGCCACACCAGAAGCCACACCAGAAAGGCAAATCTATTTTTGACATTGGGCCATGAATTTCTGGGTCCTTTACACACAACTGACACGGACTCCATTCCAATGCAACTAAAAAAGACACAGCACAAGGAGCTCTGTACTCAGAGGCATCTCCTCACACAGAAACAGATGGCTTCTGGAAGAAAAACACAGGCTTTCGTCCCTGTCCCCTGTCCCCCCCCACCAAAAATCAACAAGCATTGCTCCAGCAAACTTCTCAGCAACTTCCCAGTGGGTTTCAAGGCAGGCTGGGACTGTGTGTCTGAGCTGGGTATCATCAAGGCAGCACAGTGGGAAGATATCCAGCACTTCCAGGCCAGTGACAGTGCAGAAATGAACAGCATACTGCCAAAAACCATCTTTTCAGAGGATGATAGTTGTGACTACAAGCACGAGGTTCACACAAAGTCAACTGCCTACTTCAGTTCCTGATTTGCCAGGGAGTTGCCCAACCCCAAGGAAATAGTCAAGCCAAAGATGTGTGACAAAGCAAGCCCAAATTAATTTCCTGTATGCACTTAGGTATATAATACACTATTTGGTTCTCCTGATGTTGGTTTTTAGGGATGTTTCACTAAAAAGACATCCTGTCACATAAAAGATTATCTTTGATGTGATCTCACATTCCCAAAATCACAGTTTGCAGCAGGACTATACTGTGTATCATATTCCAGCAAACATCAGGTCACTCATGTCCAGCCAGTCACTCACAGAAAATTTGCTGTTAAAATAAAAATTGTAATTTCAAGCAACTCCTAAGTAAGAATTCCTGTTGTACTGAATAAGTAACAGCATCTCATCTGTGTCTTAATAAAACATAGCGAGAATAAGGTGTCCATGTGGCCAAAAATGTACAAGGTGGAGGCTAAAAAAGAATTTTTTAATTTCTGAATTTCCAGAGATAGAAATGACACTTTCAAGACAAACTTCTGGACACCACATCCTGTTGTAAACAACCTTAAAACCCACCCCACCACTGCCAGCTCCACTCCCTCCCTGCTCCTTGGCACAGCATTTCATTTCTGTGACCCAGACACTGTGTTATCCTCTTCAAAGGACACTCGGTGCTGTGTCCCAGTGCATTCATGTCACGGAAGCAGTGACAGCTGCTGGGAAGGTTGCACAGAGGTGAGATGGCAGGGATGGCTGGGATGAGGAGGATGCTGGGAATGCAAAGCTGTCATTGCGGTGGTACCTGACTCCTTTGGCAACGGCTCTAGTTCTCTCACCACCACCATTTTTTCTTCCTCCTCCTCTTCAATTGGGCTTATCTCAATACTGCCAAGATCACGTTTGGCTAAAAAAGTTATGGATGTGTTAAAATGCCACCTTAAAGAGGAAGCAGTAAAGGAAATATTGCCACCAGTAAATCCACAGGGCCATCTCTCTTGCTGCTCTCCCAGAGTATCAAGACATGCAGGAAAAATAGTAACAGACACCAAGCTTCTCCTGTGCCATCCAACAATGAGTTCTAGGCTGCCAGAACTGTATTTTTGTTACATTTTCATGATTAACTGCCTTTGACTATTTTAACACATGATTTAAACACAGTAAAAAGCACTGAGAGATAAAACATAGGTTGGAACTAGGTGATTTTTAAGGTCCCTCGCAACCCAAACCATTGCAGAATTCTGTGACTGATCATTATCAGCATGGCCATCACCTCACCTACAGTCCCTACTGGGAGCAGAAAAGCCAGGATGAGGCAAAGTACAGGAGGTGGATGAGAAGGGGCAGCTACAGCAGGAGAGCCTTGGACGTGCTCAGGTCTGACACCAGCCGATGTCCAATCTGCTGCCACATATCCCATGGAATACAGAATCATGGAATCTCTTGAGGTGGAAAACACCCAGAGGGATAACTGAGTCCAATTCCTGGTCCTGCACAGAACATCTCAACAATCCCACCCAGTGCCTGAAAGCATTGTCCAAATGTTCCTGGAACTCTGGCAGCCTTGGGGCCATGACTGCTCTCCAGTGGTTTTCTAGCAACCAAGGAAACATGTGATGTTCCTAGTTACCTCCCTCTATGGCTTCAAACTCTTCTTCCTGCAACAAATAATCAACTCTACTTTTAATTATGATTAATATGAATCTGTCTGCAGCAGTGATGTTGCTCTGACATCCTTCCTCAACTAGGCAAGTAGCAGCTCCCTAGTGAAGAAATAAAGTGGAATATAGGTGACCTCCAGCAGTCCCAGATCTCATAACCTGATTTCCAGGCACTGCACGCTCCTGCAGCTCAGGGGAACAAACCTCACAAGAAGGGACAGTATGGGAGGAGCTTTAAGAGATGCCCACATTTCCACACACAGCCAGGGCATGGCACCCGCTCGCTGCACCCAGAGCACACCTGAAAAGCAGCACACAGCAAAGCCAGGAGTGATTTTAGTACAAACACCAGCACAACCAGTGTAACCTCTGTCCTACAGCACTGCATCACTTCACCCAGCAGCATCAGCACAGGATCAGCACTGCCACCAAACACCACTGCAGCTGTACCTGACCACGGCTGCACCAGCTCCACTGACTTTGGCTTGGCAACAGGAACCTTAATGACCTCTACCTTCTCCTCCTCTTCCTCCTCTGCAATGGGTTTCATTTCAAAAGTTTCAAGAGTGTGTTTGGCTAGAAAGAGGTTTGCAGGTGTTAATGGGGGTTGAGGACCCACACAAACACACGATGGTCACCACAGCAAGGAGTGAGGAGATCCTTCTCAGTAGCTGGGAACAGCAAGGAGGTTTGCAGGCAGCTCAGAAGTCATTTTCCAGCATGGAACTGTGTGTCAGTGTTTTTAGTGCTGTCAGACCCAACAGTGTATTGAATGAGAGGAGGAAAGAACACAAAAATAAGCTTTATGGGCTCCTTGCCCAGGAAAGGAAACATGGGACACATGAACAGTTCTTGAGCATGGAACTAAGAAGGGCTCTGCCGGCAAAGTCTGGAGGGAGGCAGGTGCTGGCTGTCAAAATCCAGGAAAAACACATCCAGACAAAAAAGCTATCCAAAATCTAGCAGTTTTAATGAAAGGTACTTGAGTGATCAACTTCAAATCTACCCTGGTGTCTGAAATTCTCCACCTTCTGCTTTTACAGCATCCGGCTTTCCCCACCAGGAGATGCTGATTAGTCAGGATTCAAGGAATGCCCATGGAGAGGAAGCTTGCCACGCTTCATGAAAACTTGATCTAGATACTAGAAAAGCAATCATGCAGTCAAAAGCAGTAAAGCAGTCAAAAAATTCTGGCTGGTAGGAGGATACCCAAAGTATTTGCATGTGAATTATCTCCAGCCCTAACACACCACAGGTGGTCACTATGCAAGTGATGAAGACTGCAAATATTTGTAACACTGCTGCTATGATACACTTATGAGTATTCAAACATGCTGTTGTACCTACACACCTCTTAAGGATATTCATATTTATTAACAGTACCTATTCTAAGAGAAATATAAGCTCCACAGAGCAAAATGGGCAGCATTTCTCAAACACAAAAAAAAAAAAAAACCACAAAAAAAAAAAAAAAAAAAAAAAAAAAAAACCCACCAAAAAATTCTGGGATNAAAAACAACCCAAAATGGCAAGGACATTCTGGGATGAAGAATTTCTGAAGCTTCATGAGAAGCTCAAGATCAAGACTTGAAAACTTAAGTTTTTCAAATCCATATATACAAAACTACCCACATTAGCAAGAGAGTTCTTAAGCGCCAGCACATCCTAATCTTTTCACCACCTCCCCACAAGAACTGCAGTTGAATAAGGTGCAAGGTAGAAATTTAAGGAGTCTTCCAGAGCCGGGCTGTGTCTCCTTTCACTGAGAAACTCTTCTTGCACAGAAATGAAGAGAGAAAGCCACCCAATTTGGTGAAAATTGGAAATTGTCAGGAACGAGCATGTAGAGGATAGGAAAGGCACTGCAGAGAGTTTTAGCCACCACCACAGCTATACCTGGCTTCTCTCGGATCTGATCCGCAGGTTTTGGTTCAGGAACCTCAACCACCACCACCTCCTTCTGCTTCTCTTCCTCTAGGGTTCTGAACTCAACCTTTTGAGTCGCACGTTTAGCTGAAGAAACGGGGCACATGTTAACGACTGCCCACATGGCAAAGGCACAGATGTCAAGGGGGCAGGAGTGTCACATTCCCAGGCTGCTCTTCTCCCATCTCTACATCCAGGTGTAGCACTGCAGCTGTGATTTCCCTACTCATCTGGGGTCATAATGGCATGGGCAATGGGCAAGCAGCAGCACCGGTCCCCTCGCTGCTGTGCACTGTGCCTGAGGAATTCCACATGCCCAGACTGCAGGGAAGCTGCAATTTGGCTTTGCTGCCTTATGGAGCTTGAACCATCTCTTTCCTCCAGCTCCATAACATAAAACCCAGGCTCAGGATGGCACTGAGCCCTGAAGCAGGGACAGCCTGGCTGCTGCTGGCCATGGGGTGCTGAGCAGCCCTGGCTCCCCCAAGCTGCAGAACAAACTTGAAGGATCAAAGCAACATAGTCCCTGCTCCATCTGGCAGGTGTCCGTGGTGCACAGGGATGCTCCTCTTTCCCTGGATCCTCCCAGTGCACAGGGATGCTCCTCTTTCCCTAGCTCTTAATACTCTGTGATATAGATCATGTGGACCCAAGTTAGGCACTCCCTTTTCTATGCCTCACCTCTTCTGCTGCTATCAATTTATTTTAAAAAATATCAGGGATGAGCCCATCTGACTGACATACCTCAACTCCAACCTGAGCATCACTTTAAGAGACACTGAAAAAGTTTCTATCCTGGCAAAAAATCTCCCCCTGATGTAAAACTACGGAATTTAAGAAGTCATATTAAACAAAACAAACAGAATGGCTTAATTCCCAATTTTTCTAAAGGAAAATGTTTTGAGATCAAATGAAGAAATATCTATAAGTGGAACTTAGTTATAAGCCTTCAGGACCTACCTAAATTCTTTTCATCAGTCAGTTCTGCTGGGACCACCCTGGGTTTGCATTTTTGTATTGGGTCTGTCTGAGATTAAGTTAATTTACCCATAACAGACCTCACAGTGCTGTGATATTGAGATAAGGATAAAAACTGGGAGAGGTAATGGGCAAAAGTACTGACCAATGTTAGAGAGCAGAATGATCATGGGAAATTCTTGTTGTAATTGTGGTGATGGTGAAGGGGGTGGATTAGGTGCAAATTGTCCACTTTTGTTTTGTGTTGGGGGAATTTTTCGTTTGGTTGGGCAGTTTTGTTGATGTGAACAAAGGTTGTGTGATGAATCAGAATTTTCTGAGTTGAAAGGGACCCACAGGACCACCAAGTACAATTCAGAATCAGAGAATCACAGAATACTCTGAGTTGGAAGGGATCCATGAGGATCATAGAGTCTAACTTTCACCATTAAGTGAATGGCCAATATGGGGAACAAACCCATTCCTGTGGTGTTATCAGCACCCTGCTCTGACCAACTGAGCACCAATTCAGTCTCACTACAGGCACATCATTCCTAAACATGTAAGAGGCAGGAACAAGCTCTTGTTCTACAGCGACAAGTGAAGCCCCTGTTCTTGTACAGCAGGGAATCCAGGTGTTCCTTACGGAGTACTTCAGCATCCTGGTGACTCCAGAAGGCAGAGAGAAGACGCAGCAGGGGCTGACTCACCTCCATCGAGGCTCCTGGACGCTCTCTTGCTGGCCGTGCGCTCGAACTGGGGCGCGGGGCGGTCGATCAGGGCGCTCGCCTGCCGCGTCTGCGCCTGCGTGCGGCCGCTGTAGCGGAACTTGGAGCCCAGCGCCAGGAACCTGCTCTTCGGGATGGCCTCCGTGGAAGTCAGCCTGAAAGACACACACATTTAGAAACCACACCTCCAAAGCCAGGAAGGGGCATGTGAAGAAGAATTAAAATAGAAATTAAAGGAGTCTCTTGCGTCCACCTGGCCAAGGAAATGCACATACTAATGATGTCTCACATCTATCTACATGACCCAAAGATCTCTGTTCTATGGGTCTTACAAAGCAAAACTTGCTTACAAAATTTCTGCAAAAGAAACACCTACTGTCCCTGAAACCATTACTCTCCCATTTTTCCAGATAGCTAAGGAACAATGTTCATTTTCAATAGTTAAATTCAAGCACTAAGTTACTGAGGGTGAGGCTACTGTTCAGAAAACCCACCTGAAGAAGGTGTGATGTTCAACACATACTTTCCAGAGCTTCTTTGCTGCCCGGTAACTTGGTAGCTTGAACCCAATTGTACTTTCATACTGTTCTTGCTGTGGAAAGCATAAGTTATTTCAGCATAGCAGGAAATAATTGTGTTAGAAACCCAGTCCCCAGATTACCACCTTGGTCTGCTGTGGCACAAACTGCTGAATTTGCCCCACAGTGTGCAGCAGGACCTCAGGTCAGAGGAAATAGAGGACTTGGCCACTAGCCCAGGCATCCCTCAGGATGCACAGGGATTTGCAGAGCAACATGCCGTGGGTTTATTCCCCCCTGTCATACTGCCCAGCTGTCAGCTGAGGTCAAATACTGACCTCCCTGCAAGGCTGGCTCATGGCACTCAAAGCAGGAGAAGGAGGAAGAAGAGGAAAGAGGTGGATCCCCATTGTAGCCTCTCTCTCTGATGTAACCAGGCTGCTGCAGGGATTTCCCCGCTCATGAGAGGCAGCACCAATGCATCCATTCCCTGCTTCCTGCACTTAGACGAAAAGCTAATTCTAATTTTTAATTATTTTCTTTGAATGCAAGCAAGACAAAGAGCCACTGTCTTGCCCTGTTTCCAAAAAAATGAGCTACTTCTGCCCCAATTTCATCTGTCAACCTGCCATGCCTTTCCCTGGATGCTGCGAATACCCAGCGATGCCAGGAGGTGGTGCTGGATGACAACGTGTGGTTGTTACACCGTCACCAGCTGGCCTGGAGCTTCAGCTGGGATCAGACACCCCGGTGACAAACGTTCCTGCAGAGCTCCGTGCCAGGGACACACACAGCGACCATCCCAAGGGAACAGCGCATGACAGGAGCCCACAGCAGCCACTCGTACCTCCCCTGGCCGGATCTTTATGAAGAAGCTGCTGCGTTTGTAGGAAATCTTCAGGACTTTGGGCCATGGGAAGCGGTTGATTCTCAGTTTATCTTTGTAAACAAGAAGGCCACTGGAACAGACTCCCAGAGTGATATCCACTCCTTCTAAGTCCTGGGAATACAGAATAGGATTTAAGCAGTGTCAGGTTTATGAGCTTCATGTCAGCAGCTGCCTTCCAAATTATCCCTCTGGTCTTCCCATAAATTCATCCCCCCACCACCTGGACTCCAGCTCCCACTTCCATGGCCACCCCTCCTTTTCTTTCATGATTTTCCTGACAACCTCCTCCCTCCTCCTGATCTCTCCTGTTCTGCTGGTTCCCCAAAGGGCTCATCAAGAGCCCATCCTGCATTTCCTGGAGCACAGAGGCTCATATGGCAGGGAATATGTATTGTATTCTAAGTTACTCAAAGAAAAGACCTGTCTATACAAGGAGCTTTGGAAAGTTTCCTGTGACATATAAATAATAAGAAACCACAAACAACCACTTCTCTTGCAGGAATGCCTAAGGCTTTCCTGTTATATGTCAGTATTTCTGTACTTCCTCTCTTTCCAAAGCAGCTTCCCAAAACAGGTAAACTTGCTCCTGCAAGGGAAGGATAATCAAATTACAAAATCCACGGGTAGGTCCACACACACTGGTTCTCACCTTGGCTTGGTGAAGGTCGACTCCATACATAGACAGCTTTTTTGCATTCTCAAGAAATTCCAGGTCTGCTTGGGCTGGAGTCATGGATCTGCAGAAAAATAAAGGGATTGGTATTCTCAAAACTGTTGCTTTTAAGAGGAGACAGATCAGACTTCATGAAATCCATTAGATTTCCTTTTGCTTTTAACACAAACAAATCTGTGCCCAGATAATGAATTATGAAATCACTCTTACTGCCCAAATTTGTGCTTTGAGCAAGCCAATAACACAGCTGACTTTATTCCTGTGAAGCTGTAAGGGCACTAGAGAAGGAAGTGAAGAACAGCAGTGAGGGGACAAAACTTGATTCAGCAGAAGAAACCCAACAGAGCAAAAGGTGATAGGTCCTATTCCCCACAGACCTCCCCAGGCCCAGCTATTGTTCTCCAACCAAACACACAGACAGCTGAAACCACTCAGTAGAGATTCCAACCAGGGGAGCAGATGAATGAGGGGTTTTCTGGAAACAGATGGTGCCCTGTCTGCAGGAGGGGCACAATTTAACAAAGACATCCTGATAATGGAGGCCATTATCAACGTTATTGAAGTGTCCCTGTTAATACATTTCTGGTGTATGAGGTACATTAACAGCTCTGCTGGGAGAGGATTCAGCTGCATACATTTCATTTTCTACCCTCCTTTGATGTCTTCCTTACTGAGCGCTCACATACATCTTGTGTGTGATGTAAATAGAGGTTTTAGCAGAGGGAGACAGGGCCAAGTCCACTGTAAGGACAATCCTGTAGGAAAGCCCCAGGAGCAGTCACCATCTCGATATGTGCCTCGTGCTTTGCAAATACAGCAGCAAGAGCCAGAGCACGGTTTAGCAGAGATTTCCCGGGAAATGTCCAAAGAACACTTGGGGACAGTTTAGTGGTGGGCTTGGTAGTGCTGGGTAGTGGCTGGATGCCATGGTCTTCAAGGTCTTTTACAACCTAAATAATTCCATAATTCTAGGATTCCCACTGAAAACCCTCTGAAGTTTAATGTTCACAAAATATAGACCAGAAATTAAATGGGGACATGTTGTCATCTCCTGCACATGCAGACAGATTAAATATAACTACATCTTATACATTAAAGTCTCCTTCTGATGAGGCCATGAATAATTCAGCATTGTGATCCACCACTTTTAGCACAGCAAATGGCCTTTGACTCCAAGTCATGAAGCTTGTCAGAGGCCCAGTTCTTATTTTCCCTCATTTCCTCTCCTCTCAGTGTAAATGGAGGGGAATCAATTTAAAATATTGATTTGCAGGCTTGAGTGAGGTGTTGAGTGGTCACAGCCACAGCCCACATCCACCCTTCCCAATATGCTCCAGCTTTTTGCTCCCATCTGCCTGTCAGAAAGTCTTGCCTTTGCTCCATCTTTTCCTTTCTAGGAAGATATGCCCAAAATAGGATGAGGAAGAGGTTTACCCTGGAATGTGAAACCACGGAGAGTCTCAGGAGTTGCCCAACTCTACCTGAACCAGACACACCTGCCCAGGTCATGGCTGCAGTAGGAAACACTTAGTGCAGGTTTGTAATTCCTTGATCACCTGGAATCCTTCCACTTCCTTCATTAGGAAACGAATGTTACTCACTAAATGTGGCAGAAGAATGCCTCAAACAGGCTGTAGGCTACAGCATGTAAACAGAGAAACTAGATCAAACTACAATCCAAAATTACATAAATCCCAAAGAAATGTACAAAAAAAACCACAAAGGGCGAGGTTAAAACAAGTAAATTTTGCATTTGCACATGAATTAAACTTTCATGGCTATTCTGTGGGGGGAAAAAAAGCACTTGTTACTAAATAATTGCAAGACTTCCCATCTGCTTTCTAAAAACATAATTTCTTCTTCATGCAGGAAAAAAGAGTTCCTGCTTCTAGAAAGATTTTGACCAAAGTATTAGATTTTTTTTGTTAAAAGTTAATGTTCACAGAGTCATCATAAAATCACAGAATGGTCTGGATTGGAGGAGCCCTCAAAGATCATCTCGTTCCACCCCCTGCCATAGGCAGGAACACCTTCCACTTCCATCCAACAAGGCCTTGAATATTTCCAGGCATGGGACATCCACAGGTTTTCTGTAGCTCACAGAGGTGGGGAAAACACCAGAAAATCCCATTATTTCCCTTATTTCATGTTGCTGTGCACAAACAAGTCCTCCACCCACTGTGCCTTACCTATATGTTTTATGGAGTTCCACAACCTTTTCTTCAAGCTCTTTTGTCTGGTTTGGGGCCAGTTTGAATTCACTGATGTAATCTGGGCCATGGAGATCAGGATCATAGTCTCCCAACTCTGACTGGACAGTGTAGGAACCCAGCAGAGCCAAGGTGGCAAAGGAGCAGGGCAGCCGCCCTGTCAGGATGTCCTGTCTGAGCTGCAGACACAGGTAATACCTGAGGGCAGAAAGGAAAATGCTATTCACAGAGAACAGAGAGAAATTTATTAACTTGAGGACGAGTCTCTTTTTTTATGCCACTGATGAACATATGACAATGCTTGTTTCCAAGGTTTATTTATTCCCAAGGTAAACAGCATGGAGTACTGGGGGATTCAAGGTCACCTCCACTCTGCAAATGGAATAAAGGATGCTATGACCAGAAAATCTTGGCTTTAGGTGAAAATTTCCTTTCCTATATGAACACACACATGGCAGAGTTATAAATGACACTGCTTTACACGTGGACTCCAGTGGAGTGTGGGAGCATCATCACATGCACTAAAAACAAACCAAACCCCCTCCAAATGGTGAAGGTATCTGATGTCCTTCCTGAAGGAGGGAAAATCACCCAAATATGAAATATTTCTATTCCACATCCAGGAGAACATGGCAGTAGGATTCATGGATAACTCACCTGGTGATGTCCTCTGTTAGCTGGGCAGGATCTGGTGGATAAAACTTGACATTGAAGGTAAAATCCCAGGGGCCTCCTGCAATGACAAGGGAGAGCTTGAGAAAAATAAACACACTGGGATGGCTTTGTGATGGTCAGTTGATACAAAAAAGAGCTGGGAATAGCCAATCTGATCTTCAGAATTTAGCAGGTGCAACACTGATTCCTTGCTCTCACAGCTGGCTGCAGCTTAACACCTGTCTAAGTGTAGAGATGTGGTTTCATTTACAGCAGGTAAGAAAAACAGGAGGAAAAAAGCAAGGCAGGGAAAATCACCTGGATTAACCACAACTTGTGGCAAAATTTAAATTAATTGCTAAGAAGCTTAATGACTGACATGTTTCTTCATTGACTGAAAAGGAATTCATGAAGCTAGGTCAGGCATAGGCTATAAATTAATTAATTGGTTGGTTGACCAATTGAATGGACTGGTTTACTGCTTAACCCAAACTTCAAAGTTCAAGGAAGGCTGTTGTTAGCCCAACACTTAGTGTTGGGCTAAGTTACTCCTCAAGCCTAATGCACTGGGATCAGGTGCTCAGACACAGCTTAAACTCAGCCCAACACAAGCATCAGCCTCTGGATGAAGACAGAAAGCACCAAGATAGGAAGAGCTTTTCAAGTCCAGACGTAATTGCTTAAATACACCTTGTTGCAAACCTTGTATAGCACCATTACAGGCATTAACTGAGTCAGAATTCACATAAACACACATAGAATGGACATGATATGTGGTATGGGCAGCCCAGAAGACACAGCTGAAGAGGTAACTCTCTTTTCCTTGAAAACAATCCCATTTCCCAATAGAAGCTAGTCCTGAATGATTTCCATAGTTACATCTCCCCCTGCTGTGCCCTTTAACACTAGTTCAAAATAAGATTTATTTCAGAAAGAGAACTAACTCACTTGGAAGTTTATCCCAATCTCACACAGGGAACAGGGGAAATGGAGCATTTCTGGATTTATTTCTTATGCAATGCCATAACTGGGACTAAACACAAGGCACGTTGTTTTCATCACACACAGTTCAAAACAAGGGGTTCCAAGGTGACAATGAAGGGAACAGAAGTTACCTAAACCACCACACACTGGTGTCCACACATTTGTATGTACATGCAAAATACCTTCACTTCAAGTAAAATCAGGTAATTTGCCATTTAACCCATCCCCAGGGGGCCAGATTTCAAAGCAGGGTGATATTCATCACATTCACTGGATGAATTTTATGGATGGAGCAGCTCCTGCCCTTCACATGCACCCTGCTACTGATTCCAAGAGAAGATGGCAGGACCAGGAGCTTTCCCTACTCCACAGTCTTGCACTGCCCCCCTAATTTGCATTTAATGACACACTCTGTCCCCAGCCTCCCACCAAAAGGATCCAGAAACCAGTACTTTCCTTCCCAGAACTTCTAAAGCAGTCAGACTTGTTCCCAAGAGAAAACAAAAGCCTCTAAAACATATTTAATTCTGACACTGCCCTAATTTTGAACTAATTCAGTGCTAGCAGACCTTAAAACACAACTTGGGAGAGCATCTGGTATTTGAACTGATATTTTTCAAGCCATTTATCATTCCAGTGCCCCTATTTGGACCCCAAAACAGCCTCAGAGTCCACAAAACCTTGTTCCACCATTAAGTTCTGCCTGAGGTCTCCCAACCTCCTTTGGGATTTCAGTGGTTCCCACTGACACCCATTTTGCTATCCTCCAGCAAGGAGCACATCCCCATTTCAGCACTGCATTGACAGCAGTGTTTTGCTTCAGGCAAACACACCTCAAGCTGTTTTGCCAAGGAAATGACATTTTCTCCTAAATCTAGATTAAGAAGATGTTAAGAAGGCCAGAAAGAATGCACAGACTGCTTGAACTTGTGCTGATCCTTGCCAGACACCCTCACTTGACCTCTCTCCATCCTTGGGCCTCCTGGATGGCTCACCAAAGCCACACTGGGAGAAACCACACCCCCCCATACACGATAAATTAAATCTACTTACCATGAACCTGTTTTTTTATTTCTTTGGCAGGATCCAGCCACGTCTGTAAGAGGATAAAAACATTCACAGTTTACCAGACATTCTAGAAACACCACAGAAAGCTGAAAACTGCTAAAAATACAGAAGAAAAAAAAAAAAAGGACAATATTTGACACAAAGGCAGCCATGGAAACTGAAGAGATGGTGCATTCTTCACTACTTTCACTCCAGGCTGTGGTCTCTGTGGGTGTATTTCCAACCATTCACCTACCAGGGATTCATAAGGGAGGCAGGAGTAACAAGAGGGGGAAAAAAAAGATTATTTAGGGCTGCAAAAACAGAGTAACAGGTATGGCCACAGCCACATCCAGCTACCAGGGGCACTTGTACAACACCTTTTTTCTCCAAAACCCTTAAAAATAGGTAAATAGGACAGATACAATAATTTTAAGCACCCTGTCTCCTTACTTACTCTATTCAGATCAAAGATCACCAAGACTTTCTATTATTAGCTATAGTTTTCAATGACCTAATTGCTGAAATATGAGTAAAAACACCCAATTCCTGAGTAAGACTGGAATTTTTTACAGGAGTGCGACATAAACTTCATGTCTTTTAACTATGACTCAAGTTCCTAGGATTATCTCTGCTACAAATTTAGAAATGTATTTTTTCCCCTCCTCTGTAATTTGGGGTTTTGTGGGATTGTGGTGCAATCTAAGCCTCAAAACACAATTCCTGCTTTTTCCATGGTCGGAGCCTTTTCCTTTGCAGGAGTCAGGGCCTGTCCTGTTGCAGGCACTGGGCTAGCAACCCTGCTGGAGAGGTTACATTTAACCACCTCTCCATTTTCGCCAGCTCCCAATAGGATTTGGACGTGCAGGTCTCCTGAGGTGAAGGAATTAACTCATTGAATCCCCCAAGCTAATCTCTCCTGACCAGAAGGACACGTAACTTCATGGCAGAGAGACATCAATACTTGCATTTAAGCTCCTCTTTATATATGCCTACTCTAACATATAAAAGTGGGGATACAAAATTCGTTTGAAAGGAAGATTTGCTGTCTTTTTAGGGTCACAGCTTGGAGCACAGCATCTCCATGGCTGAGCTGGTGCCACAGCTGCTCGTTACTGGGGTGAGCCCAGGGTGCAGTCATGCATCCCACCCTGCCTGATCCAGCAGACAATGATGGGAACAGCAATGAACAACACTTTTATCCCACTGGGTCATGAATCAGTTGGAAACAAGCCTCCTTTTCAGGGCAACGAGCTCCTTGCTGCTCCAGCCACTGTCACCCTCTGCTACGCCCATATGGGTAATTACTGGTCCTCAGAAATTTTATTCCCTAAATATCAAGGTGGAAAATGTCACATACAACCCTTCCCTATCCAGGAATATACACGTGTATCTCCACCTGCTCTACACAGCTACAGGTGAGGTGCAGGAGCTCATCCCTGGATCCTATTAACACCATTCCACCTGTGAATCAGTAACTCTGGGGAGGTCTTGTTGGAAGTTACAGCAGGAGAGCTTTAGATTTCAAAGTTCAATGAAACATAACCAGAAAGATTAAAAAAAAAAAAATGATGGTGTTTTCACCCATCAGAGCAAACCAAAGCAGCTTGCTCCACACTGGAGCTGAACAACCCATGAACAGTGGCCTCATCTGCCCCAGCATCCCGCTCTGGGACACAGATGGGGCAAAACAATCTGTTTTCAGTTTCCCTACAGTTAAAAAGCTGCACAACCTCTCAGCCCTTGTTGGTCTGGGGGAGAAGGTACATGCTTCTGCATCCAGAAGAATCAATGCCAAAAGCCTGGGCAAGAAGAGCAAGTCCGAGGCTCTAGGAAACCACAGGATCATTTAGGAAAGGCCCTCTAAGATCCTCAAGTCCAATCATTGCTCCAGCACTGCCAGGGTTAGCACGATGCAGTATCTGCAAGTGCCACACCTATCAGCTTTTTGATCACTTCCAGGGACATTCCAACACTTCCTAGGGCGGCCTGTGCCAAGGGCCTGACAACCCCTTCTAGGAAGGAATTTTTCCTAACATCCAATGCAGCAGTGAGCTGCCCACAGCAGAAGAAGGTGAGCTGCTCCAGTTACACTCTTTTTGCTCTTAATTGGATCTACAAGTACACCTACCCCTCCCTCAGCAAGAACAAACTCTGATTAAAAAAAATACTCTGATATAAAAAATATCCAGGTTATATACATGGAAACACATTTCACATCCAAGAAAATTAGAAGAAACCAGAGACTGTAAAACAAAGTAGGAGTTCTGCCTGTCTCAAATAGTGTTATTTTTGGTTGCTATTTTGCCTGTGTATAAAAAAAGTATTTAATGACAGACATCTGTCACTCAATAACCTGCCCAGAGAGGGTTGTTGAAGGTGAAGTAGAGGAAGAGTCAGAATACGGACCAACATGACTGGTCTAAAGGACACAGCATTGGGCCCTTCATCTCAATTATCTCCCTTTTGACTTCATGAAATAGACTTCGAGTAATTGCTGAGTTAAAGGGTAACCAAGGTCTCAAAACACACTGCTTGAGCAAATCAAACAAAGACCTTAAACTGAAACCATGAGCAGAAGCTTTGATAGAGTCACGTCTGTTCTTCTGCAGAGCAAAGGCTCAGCTCCAAATGCTCTGGATGGCTCCAACCAAACCTTCCCAATGCTGACACCAGTGCCTGACACCTTCAGCTTTACAACTTAATGACATCATTTTGCAGTAAATGAATATAATGACTTTTCTCCAGGTAAAGACCCAAGTTCACTAGGACTCATTCACACAGCTTTTTCACAAAAACCTACACTGCTCTAGTCATTTATTCACCATTTCTTCCTGTGTCATGACCCACAATCCACACTTAGGGAGGACACCAAAACAAGTTTGCAGAGGAGCTTCTGCCCCACCTCCTGCCCTGGGGAGATGATGCAGAAAGAGCTGGATCCCCTCAACACCAGCAGGTGCTTACCCTGGAGGTTGGTGTGTCCCATGTGGCCAAACCAAAGTAGTCTTCTTCCAGCAGATTGAGGTGGTCACAGACTTTTTTAAGTAGATCCTGTCCCTTGGTGTGTTTCTGCAAATAGATAAAGAAATCCCGTAGGACAGAGCTGGGTTTTGCCTGTCTTTGTTTATAGGAGAGGGGATGAAGGGAAAAGGATCAAACCACACTGTGCACTATCAGTAAGGGGAAAAAAGGTCCTGAGTAGCACCAAATCTTACCTCCTGACTGTTTCAGAGCAAGGATTCCCTACAGCAAAGGGCATAAAAATTCCAGAGACAACCAGACATAAAAATCCCATGGAGACAACAAGAACCACAGTGTGTCTCTCTCTTCCCACCAGCTCTGTGTCTGAAAACCCCCCAAAGCTGGAGTTTCCAACAGAGCTTAACAGACACCAAGGATCTGTACAGGTTTTCCCTCCCAAGGTACATCTACAGTGCTGGTATCTCCCAGACTCACACGTTGATCAAGAGATGAAACTGCTGCTACAACCTATTCATTTCAGGGGCAACCGGACTTTTCTCATGTTCAGAAAAAAACAAAGCCCATGATTTCCATGTCCTTTCCATCACTCTTCTCTGCTGATGACAACCAGCTTCTCGCATCTCCCTCATGTGCCCAAAGCTGCTCAGCACACAGCTTCCTACCTTCAGAAATACACTTTGAGCATTCCTATTTCCTCTTTTTCTCTTCCCCAAATCCTGCAGAAGTGAACTGGCCAAGGAACAAACACCCTTTTAGTCCAAAAGCATGAAGGAAAACATCCCTGAGGCATAAAACTATGGCAACCAGAAGCAGCTCATTCCATTGGCGGCTTTGCTAGAAGAAAGTGCAGCTCCAGTGACGCAAAATCAGCTTCACTAATGCCCGCAGCTCTCCTGTCAGCCATCTCTGCATGGCAACTGCTCCAAGACCCCTGCCTTGTTTTATTCCTTGGCTTTATTTCAGTCTTTCAGCTGTCAGGTCCTTTGTGCACACATTGTGACTCTATAGGTAACATAATGTATGTGTTAGCCTGGGTATTTCTCAAGGAATTGGCACTGATATAGAAATGAAAAAGCTTCCAGGGCTGTCAGTCGAAAAGGATGCCTGAAAACACTAATTCTCCTTGGATAAAGGCATTTGTGCTGCTCTTTTGCCTACACCTTCGCAATTCCTTCCCAATTAAATCTTAATAAACTCTCAAAGCGCCAGAACAGAATTACACTGGCACTAAAGCCAAGGATGCTTCTCAAGTTAAGAGTCTCACTGACACAGTGGCCCCCCTAAACCTCTGCAGGAATCCATCACGACACTGGACCCACAGAGAGGCATTTCTCACGTCCTGCTCAAGTCAGGCTCTCGCTGGCTCTCCATGGCTCTCCCTCCAACAGCGTCCATGACGGTATCCAAAGGCATTGCTGCAGCAAACAAAGGCACAAAGCCACAGCAAGCTGTCACTGGGACTTGGGGAGGAGATTTCTCGGGGCTGCACACGGCCTCCCTGGGCAAGGGGAAGGTGCTGGGGGCAGGGATGCTCTGAGCTGATCCCAGGCAGCACCAGCAGCGCCACCATTACACAAACACTCGGCACTGACCTACTTGCCCAGGATCACCCAAGGTGACTGTTCCCACGAGGAGCCCTGTGCCCACATACCCACTCCTGGCCCATTTACCAGCAGGACTGAGGGAAAACAAGCTGGTGGAAGTATGTTCCAATGGTAAGTACCAGATTCTTAATATTCCAGACAAGTACTTTGATACTAAAATAGGGATTTCTGCTTGCTTTTTATTGCACTGACAGCACCACAGCCCTGTGAGAGAATACACAAAATAAAGGAGGAAAAAAGCTCTCAAATGAAGAGGGTTGCAGTGCTCTAAGTCAACATGATTTTAAATTGTTTACTGGAAATATATTCAACAGTATTCTGCTAAACACAGAGTGTTTTTCTTTACATCCAAGCAACAGGAGCTAAGTGAACCAGCAGCCTGAGAGGTAAAGATACCTTGGGGGACTAGAAAAGCACAAATCAATTTTATACAACCCATTTTATTCAAAGCCAAGGAGGCCAAAGTTATTTAGACAATTGCAACTTACCCCAAAAACCTAACCTCTAGCCTGGGATACAAATAAGAGAGATCATGACCAGCAAGTAATATAAAGTTTGGGTTTGTTTTTCTTTTTAACTTCCCCCCACCTTTATAAAGTAAGGCACCCTGGAATTGTAGAACAATAAAATAAAGATTCCTAGTACCCTGAGGTTTTTACAACACACTAAATAAGTTGCTATAGCTTAGAGCAGGCTTGTTCTGCAGTAAAACCTGTCATGTAATTCCCTAGCAGCACATTAGGCTCCTATTAAATTGTGTTCGTGGTGATTTTTCAAGAGAAGCAGAAGGGAGAGGGAAGAGAGGAGAAGCAGAACCAAACCCCCAAAGTACTTACATCCACAGAACACTCAAAAATGGTGTCATCCAGCAAGACAACTTTGCAGTACATGTTTCTGTGTCTTTTCACTACTTTTGGGGCAGCTTTCAAATCCTTGTCTGCTTTAGTCTCCAGAGACTCTGGCTTCAGTTCTGGCTTGGCACCCTCTTCCTTCGCTTCTCCTTCTTCCCTGTCCTCAAGGTCTCTTCCCAAAGGCTCCTGGTCGTCCCTCCTCTCTTCTTGAGCAGGCTGAAACCCCCAATTTAGAGGTGTCAAACAAGGAAACAAACAAAGCATCACATGGAACAGGCACTACAGGGCTGGGATCTCAGTCAGACTTCATTATCCCACTTCAACCGGTAACCTAGGATCAGGAGCAGCAACTGGGGTGACCAAGGCAATGGTATCAATTTTTAAAACTCTTCCAAGTACTTTTCAAGTTTTCATTTTGTAAATGATGTAATAAAAAAGAAGGAAGGGTTGATTAGAGAAAACAGGGCAGATTACATCATGCATTCATAGTGTTAGTGACAGCACCTTCTGGACTGGGAAGGTTTTTTCTCTCCCAGGCAGGACCCCCAGTGCTCCCACTGGCATAGGTGTGGTTCCAGTGCACTGGCCCTTGGCATGGCAAGGGGGAATTGTTTTAAACTGACAGAGGCCAGATGGGATATTGGCAAGAAGTTCTTCCCATGAGGGTGGTGAGGCCCTGGCACAGGCTGCTCAGAGCAGCTGTGGCTGCCTCTGGATCCCTGGAAGTGTCCAAGGCCAGGCTGGACAGGGCTTGGAGCACCTGGGACAGTGGAAGGTGTCCCTGCCAATGGCAGGGGGTGGGATGACATGGCCTTTAAGGTCCCTTCCAACCCAAACCATTGTGGGATTTTATGGTAGCAGTGGCATTAAAAGGAGGGTCAGGGCTGAGGCTTCATGGCCATTGGAGCAGCTCTCTGCCACCAAAAAGGGAAGGCAGCCTCCACACCACCATCCCTTTTGCCTAGGGAAGCACTCTGCAAGCCAGTTTAATCCTCTCAAACAGCAGAAAGAGATGCAGTTTGGGGACAGGAGGAGGAAGGAAGCTGTTTGGCGTTTTTTTCCTCTGCCACTCCAGCAGGTTAAACAAGTTCACAGCAGGCTGTGATGATGCTGGAAGGGGCTGAATGCAGCAGGAGTAAAGAGCTGCAGCAGAGGAAGAGCAAAACCTTGTCTGTTCAGCCCATCACATCTCATGAAATCACACCCAGGCACAAGTGCAGAGAGGTATTTAAAAAACTAAATAATGTCCACAAGCTGCTGACTTCTGTTCCAGCAGAACTGGGACAATTGGGAGCAGGGAATCAGTCAAAGCTCCTAATGCCTGTCGGTCAGCATTTATCAAACTGCAGCACCTCGCAAATGCTTTCACTGCAGAAATATCTGCCGAGTGTCACAGTTCAGAAAGGCACTGACAGTCATCTAAAATAAGAACTAAAAAAGACACAAACGCGTCGTCTAAAATGAATGACCCATGAAGAAAGGCTGGGGTGCAAATTCACATGGGCTCAGGACCAGGAAATCAGAGATAAATAGAGAAAGAAATAATGCATTAAAAAAAACCAGAATGGTTTGGGTTGGAAGGGATCTTAAAGCTTATCTGACCTTCCACTAGACCATGTTGCTCCAAGATCCATGCAGCCTGGCCTTAAACACTTCCAAGAACAAGCTCCTCTTGAAAATACAGTTTCTGGGCTGAAACCGCCTGAAGATCTCCACCTCTTCCCCATCCTGCTAATCCCAACCCTCAGAGGAATAAAACATGAGCAGAGATCCTCCCATGGTCTTCACAGACTCAGAAATTTGGGAAAAGAAAGCAAAAGCTGTTTGTTACCTACAACCCTCTCTAAAACACTGTAATTTTAAGGAGGTGGATTTACAATTATTGCCTACTGGCAATGCTTGAATTTGTAAAGTATTGCTCCAAAACTGAGCATTTGTGGGTATCTGGATCAACTGTGAATTTAAGGCAGTGGGTAAGAAATCCAGATTTCACCCTGTCTGGCTCCAGCAATACACACAGGTTGGTTGGGATGTAAGAAATCCAGCTGAGGATAAGGAATACCCACCTTTTTCCACTTCAGCCTCAAGTAATAGTAGAGCTGTAACTACCCAAGAAGAAGAGAGGGCACCCAGCACCCCCAAATCAATAACCAGCCACAGCTCAGTGAATGTTCCCTGGGGGTGTCTCTGCCTCAATTTCTGCTTTAGATTTTTAAACTTTAAATTTTGCATGAAAGATGACCCTGGCTGGAAAGAGCAGACGTCAGACACGTCCCAGGAGCTGGGTTCAGTGCATGTGCCATGCAGAAATCCCTGTCTACATGATGCATAAGCAGAAAATATTTATATTTGGCAGGCTCAGCACTAGCCTGGACCAAGCAGATGACCAAGTCCTAAAATGCCGTGCCTGGGTTTCTTGAAGTTGAAGAAACCTGTTCCCAAATCTAAATACTCCTGCAACATCCACCTTGGGCCACTGACCTGCCCTGATCCTGCTCACACCAAGGATATCCTGACAATCAACCCTGGGTTTGGACTCAATGAATGTGTACCCTCTGTGTTCTGATGTGACATCCTAAGCCTCAGCAGAGCAATGATTCAGCACAGGGCATTTTAAATTATGCTGTGGAGCATGACCCTAATTCCTAGAACAGGTACTTTGCAGGTCTGATGCAGGGATGCAAGAGTGGGAAGTACACAATGAAACACAGGGAGCTAACAAGAGCCTTTTTGGCATCCCATGACCTTTTGTGGTCAAGCTCACCAGCCTGGGATATGAAGTTGTTTATAGTTCTGGCTACAAAGACACATTTTAAAGCAGCAGGGAGCATGTCCCACGGAATGGGCTGTTTTACCTGTGTTTCTGCACTGCTCAAGGAATGGAGATCCAGCGATGGGTCAGTTTTGAGCTCGGGTTCAGGAGCTGCAATCGGGGCTTTCACCAAGATATCTTCATCAGGGCTGGCTCCTAATCCTGCATCTTTCTGGTCACCTCCCGCCTCTTTAGGAGCATCAGTGTCCTTGTCCTCTTCGGATACCTGAGACTTGGGCCTCCTGAGGAAGGAGGAAAAGAGGCGGGAGAGACCTCGGCCCTCGGAGGCGCGACGCTCTTTCTTGCCCTGCTCCTCGTGCGTGGGGGTTTCTCCGTTGGAGGCCTTCTGCCTCTGGGGCTGCCTCTCTGGTGTTGGCTGAGCCCCTTCCTCCAGGGAAGCCTCTTGCTTCTGTGTTTCAGCAGCTCCTTCCTCCTCCTTGGCTTGCTGCTGCTCTGAGCTGTCAGCGTCAGCTGCTGGGCTCTTTTCTGTTGTCATGATGATGCTGTGTGAGAGGAGCAAAAGGGCTCAATCAAGAGGTTTCCGCTCCCCATGTTTGACTGAGCTATTCAAACCAACCACGAGCACAGACACGCCATGTTCACCAGCCTGTCACAGAACCAGAGTGGAAGGGACACACAGGGATCATCTCGTTCAACTCTGAAGTGAATGGCCTGTAAGGGGATGAAACCCTGGCTGACTCCAGCATACTAAGTCAGCAAAAGCAAAGTCATTCCTTTTGCTATAGTTTGCTTTGAAGACAGTCTTTAAGGTCCCTTCCAACCTAAGCAATTCTATGATTCTATGATCTAAAATACACCAAGCCACACTGCTGGGAACAGGACCTATCAGTGTTGAGCAATTACATTGTTCTGTACCAGACAAATCCAGTGGAACCCAGCAGACTTTGGAATTCATAGGATATTTGTCCTGCACACTGGAAAAATGTCAAATGAAAAGGTTTCCAAACAACATCTATAATGGAGAGCAGATTTCCTCAGAGCTTGTGCCATTAAGCTGAAGCAATGTTTATTTCAACTTTAGCCTGTTTAGGCTGTTGACACAAAAAGATGGAAATCACATGAGAAGAATATCTATTTAAGGTATAAAGAAGACCCAAAATAATCATGCTTTAGAGGGGATAGAACTAATCTTTGCACACCATATCACATGTATCTGCAGCAATAAATTGTTGCTGCTTACACTGAGCAAAGAGCATATAATCCAATATGCCTCAATCCCTCAGTCCAAGCCTCAGTGTATAAATATTTGCTCAAAATACACACTTAAAATTAAGAAACATTTCAAGATGACATCCTCCTATGTATTACCGCATTAATCAACTTCAATTTAACTCATCCTGACTGCTAAAAGAACCAGAGTGCTTGAAGGAGAAAAGCCCTTCCAGCTCTTCAAAGGACTTTCCCCTTGCATTTAATGCAAACATTTCATATTATTTCTAACACCATGGTAAAATCAGCACAGCATCACAGACCTTCCCTGAATTTGTTTCTGCAGCAACACAAAGTTCCTGAGGTTCAGGGTTTGGTCTGGGGTTTTTGTCGGGTTTTTCCACTTGGACTCAGCCCCAAGCCAGCCTTGCGGACGAGCCGCAGGGCTCATTTTAGCATGGTCTCCTGCAGAAGCATTAGACAGAACTACTCTCCACCCACAATCTCCCCTCTGTGAGCTGCTCTGGCTATTTCCAAACCCAATGGAGTGGCAGAGGCCACTGAAACAGCAGCTCTCAACCTGCACTGAAGAAACTGCTACAAGGCAGAGAGGGTGCCTGAACCCAGGCGTGCCCACATGTGTTTGCGATCGCTTTGCAAATGGCAGCATATGTGTGACTTGTCCCTACAGCTCTTACTTCTGCTCCCTTTCCTCCTGCAATCCCTTGCCACAGATGCTGCAGGCCCCGTTAGCAACCCCTGGCTCCTATTGCAGAGAACCCCAGTCACCACAAAGCCGATTTCTGCTCTGGTCAGCTCTCTAAGAGCTCCTGGAGACACCACAAGGCAGTGAAGAGCCCAAGGACCCATCTGTTCAGCCAAACACCCATTGCCCCAAACCCACTATGCCAACACCAAGGGCAAAGCTCCCAATGCCCCAGCACACACAGAATGAAAGGCATGTTCTGCAAGCCTGTTCCATCACAATCACACACCAGCAGCCAGCTCCCTCAGGCACCAGCTGTTGCAGCAGCCTGCTTTGTTGTTGTTTCCCACTGTGTTTGTTTTGAATAAATACATTTGTACGAATCGTTATCAAAATGCACAACATTGGATGAGCTGCTCTTCAAACCAAAACAGACAGAACCAAGCTTTAGAGATGATGTCGGTGGGGAGGGCACAGCTGAGGAGCAGCTCTTACCGGCTGCAGGAAGCCCCAGGGACAGTCCACAAAGGAACACTTCCTCTGGATGTACTTTTCTCTCTTTAAACACCAACAACTTGGAACAAGATTTGTTGGCTTGTTTACATTTCAAAGCCACAGTCAGGGACCTTTCCTGGTGCAGGAAGGTGGGTCTGGCTGGCAATGAGCAAACTTCTCCTTGTCTTTCCTCCCTCCCCTGAGAACCACGCTGCAGCTCAGCCAGATCCCCCTGGCAGCGCTGGGGATGCAGAGAAGGAGCCCTATTTTTCTCAATAAACACTTCATAGCAGCCAGCACCAATAACTCACTGGCTACAGCAAACATCTTGCTGCAAGACCTGAGTGCACTGCTCCAATGTGTGGACTCCTGGCCAGCTCCCTCCCTTGGAAGTTTTATGCTCAGAAATTATTTCCCCTACATTCATTATCAAAAGCAAAGAGATTTGCAAGTAAGTAACACAACCGAGAGGTTGTCCATGGCAAGAGGGTGGAATGAGATGGTCTTTAGACCTTCCAACCCAAGCCAGTCTGTGATTCTGTGATTGCACACAGAAGAAAAGGGCCTTTCCTGCAAGGAGTTGGGTGCCAAACAGTGTTTTGTTTCTAACCCAGCCCACAGCAGAGCAGACACAAAGAGCGAGGTTCCCGCTCCACTGCTCTTCAACCCATCCCTTGGAGAAAGCACTGCCCACAGCCAAACCACAAGCAGGTTTTTATTTAAATTAAATTTTCTTCCCTTGCTATTCCATAAGGCGATTCTGCTGAGCCAGCAGGTGCCTCAGGAGCTCCCTGGATGCTGGAGGAAGATGCTCTGCTGTTGTATGAGCACTCAAGCAGTGCTGTTAACCTTCTGCTCTGAACTGCCACATTGTTGTAAATGCTTCATTTGGAGGGGCTTTCTTTGGTAGAGGCTGAAGGTTTGATGTCAGACAGCCTGTAAAAGGCAGGCTCTTCACAAGTCTGGCGTGGAGAAGGTGTTAAACACTACAGAAATGAGCAAACTGCAACAAAACTCAGGTATGATCCCAGAGAGAGATTTCAGAGTAACAATCTCATCAGAAAAGAGTACAAGTATGTATTTATATCTAAGGATTTTTAATCTGAAGAATATCCTACAGATAAGGCGGCTTTGGCAACTGGAAGCAACCTGAAGAGAAAGGTGTTAAATACTTCCACAGCACCATCCCACCTCATATGGACTGGAGAAGCCCCCAGGGGTGGACCTGGACCTCCTCAAGAATGTCAGTGCTTTGGTGATGAAGAGGGAGCTCCACAGACCTTCCCTCAAAAGGCATCAGAAAATGTGAACACCAAAGGTCAAAGCAAAACAGTGCAGGGGCACCTCCTGAACCTGCTCTACCTGCAAAGACCCTACAGCCCCCCGATACTTGAGCCCCTCAACCTCAGTGCTTACCCTTCTTTCTGGCCAAGGGCACAGCTGTAGGGAACACACAATATCTCCCTGGGCATGGTGTAATTCGTACATACTCATCCCTCTTCCCTGCATCAAAATCCTTGAAACAAAATGGACTTAAAAGGTGTGCAAGCGCTCACTGCTCACCGTGCTCCCAACATACATAGTTCAATGATAAAATCATGGAATGCTTTGGGTTAAAGGGACCTTAAACTCATCTCATTCCAACCCCTTGGCACTGGCAGGGACACCTTCGACTAGACCAGGTCGCTCCAAGCCCTATCCTCCCTGCACTAATTATCTAGTGAGCAGATGATGGTTAAATTCAGTTTCACCCCATGGCTCCATGGGTTCTGCTGTTGCAGACATCACAAGACAACCCCAATCTAAGCCAAACCATCCTCATTTTCCATGCTGCACAGACACACAGAGACTTATCTAAAAGACTTTAGAGTAGCTCAAAACACTGCAACAGCTCCCTGTTGAGATAGTCTTCAATCCTCAAGAGAATGCTAAATCCCTTGCTTATGGTGTCTGTGCTCTGGAAGGTTCTCATTAAGTGGTGACACCTGAGTTTCCTGGAAATGACAGGGCTGCTCATTTGGGCTGTTCCACGATGAGTTACAGAGGCTCAATGAAACAGGCAAGTTTAGTTATGTCTGTCACCCTCTCCTACCTATCAGCCTACTTCAGTCTCTTTTATTTAAGCACCCAGTAAGTTTAGTGATAGTAAACTGAACCTATGCTGAAGGAAGGAAGGGTTAATTAGAAATCAGGAAGAAATTCCTGCCTGTGAGGGTGGTGAGGCCCTGCCACAGGCTGCTCAGAGCAGCTGGGGCTGCCTCTGGATCCCTGGAAGTGTCCAGGGCCAGGGTGGATGGGGCTTGGAGCACTGGGACAGTGGAAGGTGTTCCTGCCCATGGCAGGGGGTGGCATGACATGGGCTTTAAGGCTCCTTCCAACTCAAACCAGCCCATGATTCTGTGAAAAATCTAACTTATCCTTGTTTCCAAGCCTGGAAAAGTTATTTATGGCTTATGCCATAACTTAATTAATTCCCAGTGGCTTGGTCTTTCAGAGAAAGGAAAAGGACTGTCCATGGGGAAGGTTCAGTTCTTGGAAACACAAACTGTCTTGCAGAGATGCCTAACACCAGATAACGGGTGGGACAAACTGTCTTGACTTTCCTACGCAAAAATATGTGCCTTCACTGAACACTGCTGCTCCAGCAGGAGCTGGAGATAATGATAAGACAGAAATTTCTGCTAAAAATAGGCAAAAATCAAATAGTTTCAGCAACAGTGTGGTGGGTTTTTTTAAAATGCGTTCCTTCCCATTTCATAATGTGTGTGAAAAGCACATAATTCACCAGGGAAACTACACAGAATGCTGCTCGAAATAGAGAGCACAGCCTGAAAATTCCGTTTTGTCAAGACCTGGTGCACGTGCAACAAAGCTGTGGGTGGGAGAGGAGGAAACTGCAGCTGCCACCAGCACGACTCACTCCACGTGTGTGTGTTATGCATCCTACATGTGATTTTTACTACAGTAAAGAAAACATTGGATAGAGCTTGAAGCAACCTCATCTAGTGGAAGGTGTCCCTGGCCATGGCAGGGGAGTGGAATGTGATGGACTTTAAGGTCTCTACCAACCCAAACCAGTCTGGGATACTATAACCATAGCAGAGAGCTGTTTGCTTGGGGATTTCAAACAAG